GGGCTGCTGTTCCTCCTCCTCCTCCTCCTCCTCCATCCATGCACGGAGAAGGCACCTTTTCTTCCTCTTCCTCTTCCACTCCCACCACCTCTCCTCCTCCTCCTCTCTTCTCCCCCCCTCCGAGCCCCGAACGCACGAACGGCCCTTCCTTCTTCTTGCGGCCCCCTTATGACCCTGTAGCCCCCAGGAAAACCTTTGGGAGGTCGCCTCCCTTTGCGGCCTGATGAAGTCACCAGGCAGAAGCCGCCGCTCTTCCGCGTTCAGAGGCTCCGCTCCGCTCCGCTGCCTGCCTGCCTGCTTGGCAGCTGTGGCGAGCGTTCTCCCCTTGTGAAGCCGCTTCCCAAGCATCTCTTTCTAGGCTTCTGTGCCCCGAGAAGAGTCCGCGTGTCTCCTGCAGTTTCCACCTGCCTGCCATTTTCCCCAAGACTATTCTTGCGAACGTAGGGGATCACAGATTACCCACGGCAATTGAGCCGGCGGGTTGGTTGTGTGAACCCGGGCCTGGAGGTCAGTATGTGGCTCAGTATGATGTGCAAACCCAGGACATTTTTTCAGCAAGTAAGCCATGGCTAATTGATCTTATCATTCACTCACTGGAGCATATCATGAACCCAAATATTTAAAAATCCATGGGTTGATCATTAAAATCCAACCTATGTGTTAGAAAACATATCACTATAAGAATAAAATCAAATCAGGTAGCAATAATAAACATCAAAAAGCCATCAACTGCAACAATACAGGTTTTGCAAGCCATTCTAGTTTGAAGAATCTAAACAAGGTTGGTTGGTTGGTTGGTTGGTTAGGAGGCGGGAGAGAAACGCTCTAGGTGAAATCCACTTGAATTTGCTACCTTCAAAATGTACTTTTCAGAAGAATTGGGATGAAATTTGAAAATAAGTTTTGGCCATATTACTCCATAATGAAAAGTGAGAACAGTTCTCTAATTTATCTTTCCCCGAGTTCATAAAGCTTACTGCTTTTTCCTGTTGCTCCTCCTATCTGGATTTAGTTCTTTTGCAAACTATGTTGGCATCAGCAGAAGGAGAAATTGTTTCATGCAAGACTTACAGTGCTATCATTTCTATCTGGCTTAATAGTTTATTTTAGCTTTAGAGGTTTCGTGTAGTAAAAGTGCTCTTAAATGGCTTTACATTTTATTTCAAAGCTACAATTGAAATAGGAACCCTTGGCCTGTAGCAGAAGAGATATTTGGGTTTCAGTCCCTTTAAATTCCTTTCCAGAGTTAATTGTTGCTTTTTTAATTACAGTAGACAATTATTCCAATGAATGTTGCATGGCAAAGAGCTGTTTAATGGGATTTGGTAGGCTTCTTCTTTCCTTGTATGGAGTTTAAGATAGAAAGTACATAAAATTCTCAATGCCTGCTAGCAATGCCAGCCTGCTAGCAAAAGTCGTGAAGAAAAAGAAAAAAGGAAGCCTGCAATTTACGCATTTAACAATTTTTTAATCCCAAGTCTTGGAGCAATCTGTCAGTGTTTCTCAAGCTTGGGAACTTTAAGATATGTGGACTTCAACTCCCAGAATTCCCCAGCCAGTCATACTGTATTAATGCATAAATATGTTAATATGAGTTAGCACACTGAGCAAGCAAGGTAGTGGTTTCCTTGACCTCAAGGGGCCTGCCCATCCAGTTTTAAAATTCAATCTCTGCTTTTTTACGGTTGCTGTGATTCTTTTTAACAGGAATGCCTGCTTCTTGAGCACCATTCTCCGAATTCTTCATCGAAGTTCAGAAGAGTGTGGAGTGGAACCTCCAAGCCTGACCAATCCAACCAAGTTCATCTGGCAGCCATGCTCAGAGGAGGTCTTCAATCTGGACCGGTTCCTGGATCTGCTTCTCATCGTGATTCCTCTCCAAGAGACCCATGTGCGCCCCCCTCTCCGAGAGCAGGGCAGCGGATTCTTGACAGGTTCCTCCGGAAAGATGTTTTATTCAGCAGCGCTTTCCTAATCCGGCTGGGCCTTATCTTTTATGGGATTTATCAGGACAGGACGATGCTGGTGAAATATACTGACATTGATTATCAGGTCTTCACCGATGCTGCCAGATGTGTCACGGAAGGGAAATCTCCTTACCAGCGGGCCACGTACCGCTATACTCCGCTCCTTGCTTGGATGTTGACCCCAAACATTCATGTTAGTGACTTGTACGGCAAGATCCTTTTTGTGGCTGGGGATCTGGTGGCTGCCTTCCTGATGTACCAGATCTTGCTTCTCCGAGGGCTGGAAAGCTGGAGGGCCTGTGGCTGCTGCACCTTCTGGCTGCTCAACCCGCTGCCCATGACCGTGTCCAGCCGAGGAAATGCTGAGTCGCTGGTTGCCAGCCTGGTCCTTGGCACCCTTTATTACATGGCCAAGAGGCACGTGGTGAAGGCGGCTGTTCTTTATGGCCTCGCCGTGCATATGAAAATCTACCCCGTGACTTACGCGTTGCCCTTCGTTCTCTACTTGCAAAGCAACACAGGGGCGGAGCTGGGAAAAGCAAAGGCTTTTCTTTCGGAGAAGGGGAAGGTGGCTTCAGCAGGCCACCGCTGTGGGCTTTCCTCGAGGTTGTTCACTCGCGAAGTCCTGCTTTTTGCCACGGTGTCCGGGGGCATTTTTGCCACCCTGGCCCTTGCGTTCTACCTCTGCTATGGCTGGGAATTTCTGGAGCACACCTACCTCTACCATTTGCTCCGGAGAGATACCCGCCACAACTTCTCCCCCTATTTCTACATGCTGTACTTGACGGCTGAGAGCGACTGGAGCTTGGCTCTGGGGCTCGCCGCCTTCCTGCCCCAGCTCCTGCTACTTCTCGCGATCTCCTTTGCCTACCGCCGAGACCTCGCCTTCTGCTGCTTCCTGCACACGGCGGTTTTCGTGAGCTTTAACAAAGT